TAATCCATTAATTTGAATAAACCAAATTTCATACTTGGGTATGTAGACATTATATATAACTAGAAGCCGTTCCAGTGTGATCATTCTACTGTGTGACTAAAATAATATGGCACAGAACTATTGAGCACTAAATAAGCTTGTATTTATGGTGATATATGTTACACCTAACTAGAAGGGTATACCTACCACTCATGTTTAAAACAACTAAGATGTTTTTTGTCCAGGTAGCACCCAACAGCCACCATATGGCGAGGATGAAGAAGGCAGATACTGAAAGATGACAGAGAAGATTGTAAAAGTAAGATCATCTATTTGCTGCTACTTTCATATTTGGTTAAGTAGAAATTATAAATATCTAGGAGCCATATATTATTTTAGTCACACAGTAGAATGATCATTCATTAACAAACGAAAATAAGCTTCTAATTCTAGTCATATTTGTTACTTACCTACATGTTTATTTGCTACCCTTGTTTAAAACAACTAAGAATAGTTCTGTGTCAATTGCTGATGTTTAATAGATTATTTTACTTTTACAATCTTCATTGACGAGCTCCAGTATTCGCTTTCTAGATCCCCTCCGTACGTTAGCTGTAAGACGCTACCTGGACAAAAAACTACAGCTAACTTACGGAGGGGATCTAGAAAGCGAATACTGGAGCTCGTCAATGAAGATTGTAAAAGTAAAATAATCTATTTAATGATCTATTTCATCTTGTAAATTCAGCACTAATTCGCACTTAATTACAATTTCATGCAGTATTCAACAAACCGCAGTTTAAGTATGAAACCTGGTTTATCCTTAAATTTTACAGCATATACTAAAATAATATAGGGATCAGAATTTTGTTAGTTATTGTTTTAAGAAATGAGTAGCACGTGAACATGTACTTGAGTGTAACCAATATCACCAAAGATGCAAGCTTATTTACTAGCTGCTAATAATTTTTGTCCAGGTATGATCCGACAGCCACCATATGGAGGGGATGAAGAAAGCAGATACTGGAGCACGACTATGAAGGTTGTCAAAGTAAAATAATCTATTTAATGATCTATTTTATCTTGTAAATTCAGCACTAATTCGCACTTAATTACAATTTCATGCAGTATTCAACAAACCGCAGTTTAAGTATGAAACCGGCCTGCATGGTTTATCCTTAAATTTTACAGCATTTACTAAAATAATAGGGATCAGAATTTTGTTAGTTATTGTTTTAAAAAATGAGTAGCAAGTGAACATGTACTTGAGTGTAACCAATATCACCAAAGATGCAAGCTTATTTAATTTACTGCTAATAATTTTTGTCCAGGTATGATCGGGGCGACAGCCACCATATGGAGGGGANGTTATTGTTTTAAAAAATGAATAGCAAGTGAACATGTACTTGAGTGTAACCAATATCACCAAAGATGCAAGCTTATTTAATTTACTGCTAATAATTTTTGTCCAGGTATGATCCGACAGCCACCATATGGAGGGGATGAAGAAAGCAGATACTGGAGCACGACTATGAAGGTTGTCAAAGTAAAATAATCCATTAATTCACTGGAACGGCTTCTAGTTATATATAATGTCTACATACCCAAGTATGAAATTTGGTTTATTCATGATCATTCTACTGTGTGACTAAAATAATATGGCACAGAACTATTGTTA